CCCCAAAACCCCAAAACCCCAAAACCCCAAAACCCCAAAACCCCACCTTGTAAACTTGTTGTTGAAGGTTTAACATAGGAATTATATCTACTGAGTATCATCCAATATCATTGATCTGTCGCTGAGCTTTTCTTTTCTTGTAGATTTTTTATGGAGGATGTGATCCCCAAAGTCTCCAAGGATGTTCCTTCTTCTCTTGAGAGTCTTTCCTCTTTTGGCAAATCCTTTTCCCTTAATGATAGGAGATTCAACTCTTGATTTTGCCCAATTCTCATACCAGACATGATTGAGTCTATTTCTATTGTGATTCGATCCAAATTTGACAACCTCTATAGAAGTAATAAGAATTATCTTTGCGAAAAGGAAGCAGAAATGTCATTATATGAGCTTATTTTGAAAAGTTATACTTACCAAGACTGATAAATAATGGCGAATGTAATTTGAGATGAAGTTTTATATTGATACCATCGACATATGCAACCATTTGTACTGCATAGTTAATGCCTTTCTTGTTCTCAACACCAGTACAAAGCCCTCTATAAGGTTATCCCTGGTGTTTACTTGTAAGTATTAACCTTCTTTTCAGATAAAGAAACATAGTATTGGACCTCAATTACATCTCCTGGTCTGAAATCTGGAAATTTGAATTCCTAAATATAAGCCGTAAAACTCTGACAATATTTTGAGCTATGATCCATATAACTTAATATAGATTCTGCAAAACATTTTGGAGCTTATCCAAGAATCTGCAGAATTGATGTTTTCACAGAGCCCAAACTTACATTCTTAATTTCTTCTTTTTCGAGCATTGTAATCAAGGTTCTACCAAGATGCTGAGTGGGAGGTCTAATAGTATGCTTATAGTTTGGATCAGGGTTTGTCCAGAACTCCTTCTTCACCTTAGTCGTATTTTTGCACACTACATCTTTTGGGATATGGTTGGGATTGTAGTGGTACCTAAAGAAAAATTAATTCATGAAACATTGGGATACTTACTTATCAAACACATTTGTTTTCTTATGGAAATCTTTTAGGTATGACATATTCCTGACAGCTATCCAGTTTGAACGAATATACTGCTGCATGGCAGTTCTTTGAATAGCAGAGTTGATGAATCTACCTCTGAGGGTCAAATTAAACATATTTATTATAAATTTTTTAAGTCCATATATAAACATTAATTAGGGGTTTTGGGGTTTTGGGGTTTTGGGGTTTTGGGGTTTTGGGGTTTTGGGG